ATTTTAATCTTTGAATTTGAGAAAATATTCTAAATGGTTCATCAACTCTTTTCTAATGGTAGAATGACGCGGAAGTTAAGTTGCTGATTCGACTTTAATTCGTTGGGTTAGAAAATTATATAATTTTAATATTATTTTGTTGGTAAATGAACTCTCGCTGAATTCCTCTTTTCTTCTCTTATTTTTTCCTCTTTAGCCAAACTTTGTCGCTACTTGCTGTTTCCCCCCTTGCCAACAACTGTTTTCGGAAGCCTTCACACCACCATACTAAAACGACCTGGTTTGAGGAACGAGAAATGAGCAGCATCCTCATTACTTGTTCCTCGTTAAATTGAAACGTGATAAATTTGCAGTCTAGCAAGGGATTTCAATGTTTGGTGAAGACTTTTCGACGACGGTTGGTCTGCGACTAACGTGCAAAGGAGTTGATAGTTTATTTAGATTTTTTTTTCTCTCGTACCTCATCCTCTAAAAAAATGTGCTTTTCAAAATATTAGGGATCAGAATAGACACCAACTGCAACGTCAAGAACTTTACCTTTATCTTTTTTATAAATTCATTTTTAAATTTTAATAGATAAACACAATAAACGAAAGTCACAATAACATACAAATATATACGTGGATTCGTTAGTATCTTGTTTAGATGTAGCTTTGTATTTTATTAAACATAATCCCTTCAAAAGACTAAATTTATAATTTTACCAAAATTTTAAAATCTACCAAAATAGGCAATAATAAACCCTAGATTTTTTTTTCTTTTTTCTTTTTTTTTTGAGCTGAATAACAAATCCTAGATTAACATTTAACAAACGTGATAATCATATAATATACCATTATATTATATTATATTATATATATATATATATATATATCTGCTAAGAAAGTGATGTTTGACGTGGACAGAAATGAAAATGAAGGTGCCACGTGTTTGTTGGAAATTCACACGTCTCTGGTTTCCTCCACGGACGTCTAGAAAAAGATCTCCCTCACAATCACACAACTTACAACTACTTTAATAAATATTCAAACAATTTTCTTTTTTCTTTTTTTTTTCTTACCTATAAAAGGGCAAAAATAAACAAACCATTTAATTTCTTCTTGATTTTTTCTTCAAATCATCCTTCAAAACGTTGATTCCAATGGGATACATTTAATTAACCTTGTGAGTTTTTAACTTTAAGTCCATGGATTTTTTATTTTTATATCTAATACCCTCTAAACTTTAAAAATGTCTAATAAATTTATAATTTTCTTTTTGGTATAATAGATTTGTGAACTTAAAATATGACTAACTACGTCTAATGATTTTTTGAATTTTTATAAATTTTTTTAATTCACGAATCTATTACATACAAAATTAAAAGATCATAATCGTATTGCACACAAAATTAAATCTTGTATCTAATAAATATATTAAACTTCATATATTAGGCCCAAAACTGAAAGTTTACGAATTTAATAAATACAAAATTGAGAGTTCAGGGACCTGGGAGCCACTCCTAAACTATTATTAAAAATTTAAGAATATATTAGATATTTTTAAAGTTTAAGGATCAATGATCCAAACTTAAACTTGCAAACCTAATAAAAATTTGTAGTTAAAGCCTATTTTATAAATAGTGTTTATTAGCAGTTAAACCTATTTTATTAATAGCAGAAGTATAATTTAAAATTGTGATTGACGAATTTTTTTTATACTTAATGACTAATATACATACATATATATAGTTGAAGATAAGCCCAATAAAAAGTATTGAAAAAAAGTGCAAAAGATTAGTTCAAAGTAGAGAGAGAGAGAAAAATAAAATTAATTTTGACCTCATCAATCAGGATAAGCACAGTAGCACACGACACAAAATTAAATTTATTTTAATATAATCTATTTTAAAAAGTAATAAAAAGGCAAAATGTACCAAAGTATAAGTACATGATTTCATCAAGATAAACAAAATAAAATAAGTATAGTAAATGTAATTAATCAGTGGGTTTCCTAATTAGACCACTGAAACCAAATCCATGAGCTACTTGTCGTTTTGGAAGGAAACCCATTTTCTAAAAGGACTTTTTTTTGTATTTTTTTTTACCTCTTATTGCTTAACACCTAGTTTTTGATAAGCTTAAAGTTCCCAATTCCCAACTTTTCATCTTATTTTTATTCTTGTTACTAATTAATTGTAGATCTAATGTTTTAGTAGTGTGAGCCTATAATTGATCATTCCTATTTGGCTCTTAATTTTTTTTTTATATTAATGTCGAGTGATTTTGGTTAGAGGGGTGGGAGGTGAGTGGTAGTGCTAGAAGTAGTTCAAATATTTTAAGTTTAACATGTGGGTAGGAGTATAGATTCGAGGCTTCCAACCTTTTGGTCTGGGATATATGTATTAATTAGTTGAACTATGTTCAAGTTGTCGATAAAAAATGCAATTAGAAGTTACTTTTTTGTGGGAAAGAAATGTACGACATGAAACGTGGGCCTAGAAGTTGAGCTGGATATCGCCAAAACGGGTTAACCAAGTCATTGGGAAATACCGACAACTGTCGATTGGACCGATTCCAACGGCCTTGTCCCCCACTACCTATAAAAGGGATACTTCACCTCTTGACTCAGGTACACAATTCTAATCCGAGAACAACTTACCATAGCTCGCGTCATCTCTAACTTGAGCATCAATGTATTTGTTCCTTTTGCAGGCCCCTCTTGCTTAAAGTCACATCTCGTCAGCTCGTCCCTATTGTCACGTGGTCGATCTATGGTAGCTCGGCAAAATCCAATATCACACTTCTGATAGTTAAGTTACCTCGAGTGTCATGAAATTATAAGATTTTTAGTATCGCAAAGAATCTACTTTAGTTTCTTCTACATCTTTCACACACACACACACATATATGTATTATAGCAACAATAGTTGTTGGTTGCAAGTAGAGTTAGGTCTGCTAATTCGTCATACTACATGAGATGCTATTAGTTACAATTTTAGTCATGCCTTGCTAAGCCTATTAGTGATAGTTGCATGGGTGGTGACCAGTAGTTGTTATTGATATTGCAATTGTGTGGGATAGGTCGATGTTGCGACTAGGTATAGGTAGAGAGTACAACAACACACGATAACGTAATCAAACTCACTAATGATATGATATCTTATCAAGTTTCATGCTTATTTTGAGTGTCTAAGTATAGATCACTGTCCATTTCTAACTTAGCCTACCTACAATCCACTCCTTTGGAGGCTTCTTAGTTGGTTTTCGATTATGGCCCACCTAAGTCACGTGGCTTCTAGACTCACCTAATTTGGCTACGATCGGTACCTAAATGGCTTTTTTTGGTAGCTTAGCTACTTGGTATTTAGGACATTGACATTCTCTTTATGCAACTTAATTAACATGTTGATTGATACCGTTTCAAAGTTGTCATTTGGTTAAAATCTTATCGTAGTCCTCAATATATATGAGCGTTGAATTTTCATGTTATATTATTTAATATAAAATTTAGAGAGTTTATTTTTAAATTTAATGCCAAACTCTATGGTTACTCATTTGTTTCTTATATAAAATTTAGGGCACAAAATAACCTATTAAAAGAAAAAAGTCTAAAGACTAAAATAAAAAGTTTATTGACCAAAAATAGGATTTATTCTAATAGTCATTTTTTACATTTTAATTGACCAATAATTGGGAGAACAGCACACTATTACATAAATTGCCGATGAAAAATCTCCATCCAAGGGACTGTACAATGTAAGGCCACTCATATGCTGACACGTGGCTGAACCGTTTCTTAAACCGTTGAGTCGTCGGCCAACTCTGAGTCGTCATCCACGAAACTCGGACATAAAATAGTTGCATACGTAATCGCAAACATAATATTCCTTTATATATGTAATTTAGAAAATAAAAATTGTGGGAATTAATAAAAATTCCTACTTATTTCTGAAACTATTTTCATTTGACCGAAAATATTGATAAATTAAAATTGGATTTTCATTTTTTTTCCTCAATGATATTTAGTAACTCATTTGTTGATGCATTATTCAAATCAAAGTTATCTAAGGTTGAATGCTTCGTCGAACCCTTGCTGGTACAAGAGATCTACATACTTGTGATGAGTAGTCTTTTTAGTGCTAGCTGAACGCAGCATGCTGATCCGCGATTAGCRATTCCTCGTCGAGGAGCTTTTGGTGAGGAGGCACTTTYCTCGCCGAACATATGATTGCCTCTGCTAAGTCCAACGCACTCTATTGCGTAAGTTAAACAAAGAGTTCAATTTGAYGTATCAAATAAAAARGTTGTGTGGAACATAACTCAGCTACATACCTCTCATTTTATTTGAGGGAGTCTCCTCATATTGGTTCGGATGGACCAGCTAGATCTGGTCCGACCGGCTTAGCCTAATTGGATCATGTTTAATGTGGTCGTGTGGTTCGAYTTGATTGGCTTGATCCAACAATTCGACCCACATAACTTTATTCACCTCACTTCAAGAAAACATACAACATAACATTATTTAGTTTTAAATTTTTAAACGTTGAATCGAAGACATAAAAATAGCTTCCTATTTCAATTTTGTTAGATTATAAGACTTCTTATCTCTCTTTCATGTATCCCATTCCAACTCTCTCTCTCTCTACATTTTTCTCTCTAACATTATCTCTTTCTATCTCTAAAATTAATCTCCTCATCGACATTTATCTTCCCCCTCTCTTTTCTTGACAACTCATTTTCTTCAAAAATGAAAAAAGAAATAAAAATTTTACGACGCACCAACTTAATTTATTTAAATTTCGTTAAATTATAAATTTGGTTTATAAGTTCTCTCACCAAAGTTCGAGATCCTATAAGATACAAAATTAATAAAATTTAAAATTTATTAGACAATTCTTTTAAAATTTTAAAAGCATATTAAGAAAATGAAGAGATTTATCATATACAACTCTCAAACTTTGAGATCTAGACCAAGCTTATAATTTAATTTATAAAATTTATTTCTTTAATGTACTTTCAAATTCCCCCCTTTATTGCACAATAATTTGAACACATTAATAAAATAAACAACAAAAATAACTTAATTTCCACGTCGGCGCGTGGGAAGATAAAGAACCTTCCCCTCAGTCGCTAGAAAATTCTGCCACGGTCCTACGTCACTCATACCCATACCCGCTCCAAGAAGGAAAAAAAATAATAAAAATAAAAAAACAAAAATAAAAAGTCAACGCGATTCAAAGGGAGCGCATTTAAGTAATTTCACAAAAGCAAAACCCAGCCACGTGTCGACGTGAAAACGTTACCGTGTGTTCACGGGGCAAGTCCCGGTAACGGCGTTACGTGGTTCCGTCTCCTTCCACGAATTTACTCTCACCCGCGGCGGCTGCTTCCCGTCTTCTCCACTGACTTCTATATATTCTTCTTCATCGCCGACCTGTACGAAAAAATTTTCCGCCACAGACCAAAAAATTCCCGATTACACCAATCACAAATTTCCACAACAAAAGAAAGAATCTCAACTTACCCTTCTGATTACACGATCTCGATTTCGAAGTCCGATCACGAGGAGCCGATCATCCCTGGTTTCCGTTTCTGGTTAATGTGAAAAAGGAGAAAAAACAAATATGGTAGCAGAAGCTGAGGTTGTTGTTTGCCCGAAGAGCCTCCCGGTTTTGGAGGTGCAGTATTTCGATCAAATTGAGTCGATCGGCGACGCGATTTCGCCGACTCTCGACCGAGTTCGAGCTTCGGAATCGGTCTCCGCCGAGTTGTCTAGCTCTCAATCGGTATGTTTTCCTTCTTCTTCTTCAAAATCTTTGGCCGATTTTGGGGTATAGTGTAATAATTTAGTTCTAGCTGCGACTGCAAAAATATGATCTGATGGGGTTTTCGGCTCTTCTGCTCTTGAGTTCATATGATGTTCGTTCCTCTCTTCAGGATATTAAACCCATGAAGAAAATTCCGGACTCCGACGACGGTTCGGCCGGCGTTGAGGAATTTCTTCCGAGCCTCCGGTCGGGGAGCTTTGCTGATATTGGACCTAGGAGATACATGGAAGATGAACATGTAAGGATAGATGATCTGTCTTCTCATTTAGGATCCTCGGTCTTCAMGTTTCCCAAGCCAAGTGCTTTCTATGCGGTAAGTTTTGAGTCAGAAGTGCTTTCTAGGAACTAGGGATACGGAAGTTTTCGTGATCTGATTCTGAGTGGAGTTTTTTTATATGTTGAGCAGGTATTTGATGGCCATGGAGGACCTGAAGCAGCAGCTTATATCAGAAAGAATGTTCTAAGACTATTCTTTGAGGATGTTAGGTTTCCTCTAATGCCAGATGTTGATGAAGTCTTGCCGGAGGACATCGAAAACTTTCTTCGCGAAGCRTTTCTTCTGGCTGATCAAGCTCTGGCAGATGATTCTGATGTCAGTAGTTCTTCCGGGACGACGGCGCTGACTGCTCTGATACTTGGAAGGTATGCGTTCTTCCTCCCCCATGTAAAGATCCTTTATAACTGATAGCAATCTCTGCATTTGTAAGCTGTAGYGTACCAATGTATCCATGTTCTTGAACCTTCATACCTGATAGCAATCTCTGTATCTGTAGACTGCTGTTATAGGTTTCGTTAACCTACCAATATGTATGTTCTTCCAATTTTACTGTCATGAGTGCAATTGTTTTTTTGTTCATAATGCACAAATGGGGAGCCATAGTTCTGTGGCTGATCATGTTTTTGTTCTTCAGGCTTTTAATGGTGGCTAACGTAGGAGATTGCCGGGCAGTTCTCTCTCGGAAAGGAGAGGCGGTAGATATGTCTCAAGACCACCGGCCAATTTATACCTCGGAGAGGCAACGGGTGGAAGAGTTGGGTGGCTACGTTGATGGCGGCTATCTTAACGGCGTTTTATCGGTATCCAGGGCCTTGGGGGATTGGGACATGAAGCTCCCCCATGGTTCTCCTTCACCTCTCATTGCAGAACCAGAATGCAGGCAGGTGGTTTTAACAGAGGAGGATGAGTTCCTGATCATAGCCTGCGATGGGATCTGGGACGTGATGTCTAGCCAGCAAGCAGTCAATGTGGTTCGACAGGGACTTCAGCGACACGACGACCCTGAGCGATGTGCTCGAGACCTCGTCCTGCAGGCTTTGCGACTAGACTCATTCGATAATCTCACTGTTGTCGTTGTTTGCTTCTCTAGTTTCCACCGTGACAATCCGTTGCCACTGCAGCGAAAATTGAGATACTGCAGCCTCTCTGCACAGGCCCTTTGTAGCTTGCAGAGATGGTTAGACAACAGTGGATGCCAATGAGTGTAACTATTTCCTGTAAAACCCCTCATTTATAACAGATTGAAGCGTTCAGCTCTGCAATCCCATTTATTGGAATGTAAATAGTTTTCTGATATCTACTCCCTCAGATTGCAGGCATACATAGCTTCAATAAATCAGCTGAACTCAGCATATTTTTGTAAAATACATTGAGATATTCAGTACAACAGATTCTGTTATGTATTCTATTCAAGATTTTACATTAATTTATAAGAGTTTTTGAAAAAAGATGATAATGTGGGATACCCATTAAGACAAATAACTCGGGTTTTCAAGCCGTTTGGTATTTCTTGGCAAAAGTAGCAAAGCTTTCAAGACCCCGTTTAAGTAATCTCTCAAGCAAAGGCTGCAGTGCCTACATTTGCAAAAATCAGACAATTCAGATTTTCTCAGATTATGCGTTTTTATGATCGATTGCAAGCTGATAATGAAAAGTTGTAACAAGGTTAAAGATTGGAATGCTTACAGATGCCACTGGAGACAAAAGTGGAGGAACTTCATAAGAGACTGTCAGCTGAAAACRACCAAACAAGAAGGTTCAGAAAAGTTCAGAAACGAAAATATCCAAACAAGAAACCTACAAAATTTAGAATAAGATCATTATGGAATAATAATGAGAATATACCCATATACGTTCCTAGTTTCTGAATCCTAACTTTCCTCTTACAAGCTTTAATGAACTCTTCCATCAATACTATCAATGCTAGTATGTTTTTGTTTTGATCGAAAGTGATGCTCGTATGTTAAAAGTTAAGTAGAAAACACTCGTGGGCAGATACCACCCCTAACGAATTAGCCTTTTTGTTAGTTTTATGGAAAACTTGACAGTAAAGATGGATTGTCTACTTTCTTTTTAGTGCTAGAGTTTATGACTCAAAATCACGTAGTGRATTACCATGTAAAGATATCCTTCTAAGTTCTAATTTACCCCAGAAAATGTTATATATTGGTATAGTATGAGGTAGACTTACTTCTACAAGGCAGGATGAGGAACCTTTTGGATAAAATCGTACAACACCTCTGCAACAAAGATTAAAAACTATCAAGATTCTGTTATGAATTCAGAATGCACCACATAAAAGGCTCAGAAGTAGAAAAAGGAGTACAATATCCTATGGAAGGAAGTCAATGAAACAAATCACAGGATATCAAGAATGATTTTGAAATAAACTTGGGGAGGTACCTGTTTGGAAGACCTTCGAGAGACCGCCAATGGATTTTTTGATTTAGGGTCGGCTGCAATATAATCAGATAACAATTTAAGAACAAAGGAAATTTGTGGCACATTTCTAAAACAAGGGACAAATGAATGAAATGATGGATTTTAAACGGAAGGATCAAGGAAGAGAATTGTTTGCCTGCAAGTTTTTAGCAAGCCAAGAGAACTCAATATCTTGACCAAAAGCCTTGTATTTTAATGACCACCGTGATAAACTAGGATTATCTTCCACTACCTATTAAGAGTATCAAACAAGATGTCAAATAGTACAATCTTTTCCAATATCTACAAAATGCTTAACTTGACCAAAAGCAAACCGTTGGCACTTGGCAGTAATTTAACGTGGTATCATGACTTGAGATTTGAAGCTCGAATTCACACATTATATTTCTCCTACATTGTAAAGTCGCTAGCCTACATAATGCRTTTACTTAAGATACAAGGGTATGAATGAGAGGATCATAAGCGATTACCTTAAACCAAGAAGTCAACCAAAGTGGCTTATCCACTTCACCAAAAGTTCCCTATCTAATTGACTCTACACAATCTAAATGATAGATAGATAAAGCTCATCGATTCCCCTTCACAGCACGCTCTCATTCATACATTTTATTGCAGAATTGATATTGAACCCTTATTGAAAATACCAACTACAATTACTTGAGGAAGAAAATTATAAGTTACTAGACTTTCTAGAAGTCTGATTCTCTCCCAAAATATCAGCTATTTCCAGTCTATTGTTCTCATCTCCTTCTTCTATAACTTTCCCATAAACATAGACCTGCCCGGCTGCCCTTCCATTCACTTGCATTTATGATTTACCCCACGTAAGAGACTTGCATAACAGACCTATTCTCTAGGCTCACAGACTTTGCCCCTGATATAAGCAAATAAAGTTGGAGGTTTCCCTCCCTTACCATATAACTAAAATGGTTCTTCAAGGGAACATGGTGATGCTTTAAAGTGAGAAGCATTAATAAATTGCTCACCTTCACAGATGAAATGAAGGGCATCCATTTGGGGATGGCTTCCCGATCTGAGTAGCATTTATAGGCAACGGAGGCAGGTATGTCGACTTCCATCTTGGCCCTGCATTCATCACATTTCCCGGTTATTGCAACAAACCTAWAACATTCTAAAACTCAGAATCCATCCTCCCGGAAGAACTGCACCGCAATCAATATCAAATTAGTAAAACAACGCGCAACAATCGACCCAATCCAGAGAAGAATCGAAATTCAAGCAAGCCATTGCAGATGAGGAATAAATAAACAGAAATTAAACCGAGAATGGATAATGAAATGCTGTCTTTACGTGCAATTTTGCCATTCCATCACAGGGGAGACGAATTTAACCCGAGGGAAATTGGGGTTTGTACTGCGCTTCAAAGAACCGCGTGGGATTCTGAAAACGAGCTCGGGTAGAGATGGGGACTTCGAATTGATGCTTCTGCGAGTGGGAATCGCCATGARAAGAACGCCATTTCTCCGTTTGATGGATCCATGACTGAGATTCGGAGAGTTGGGATTGGAATTACAGGTGACTGCTGCAAAAGACATAGTGGAATTTGCAATTAGCGAAGAAGAAGGCGGGAAAGGGACATTAAAGGGGGTGGTGAGCAGAGAATTGACGCCACCAAATGCAAGAACAGCCTCTGAATTCGGTCTTTCGAAAGCCACAAGAAATATCAGAGCGGTCAGAGATCGAAACGACCGAAGAACGGAAGGTGATCAGTGAAATGGTGAAACTAAAAAAAAAAATCATTTTTCACTGGCAAAAGCCACACAGTACTCGAGGTGAAAATATCAATGAAATGTGGCTGGATATTCTTTTTAAAACCACTAAAAAAAATTATTTAATGTATTTTATTGATATTCTTTTTAATATTTCATCTGTACGATAAAAATGTCGATTAACTCTTTGATATATGAAAATGTTGATAGAAATTTAGTGGTKACACTGATAATTTTTATAGTTTTTGTCAGGCTAAAGAGAAATCCAAGATAATTTTTACTGAACCATCCAGGATTACACAAATTTTGTACAAAAGTAATGACTAAAAAGCSAATCATTTTGCAAAAGTTGATAGGAGAATTTAATATTAAAAAAATTGGTGGAGATTGAGAAATTATTGAGATTATGAGTAATTGAGGAGATTGGGAGTGATTGAGGAGATTAAAAGAGATGGGTGGAAATGGATATGTTCCAATTGAAAGAGCCACATCCCATCTCCTCATTTGTTAAAAAAATAAATAAAAAAAAACTTGCATCAATTACTTTTCACTAAAATTTAGGGAGCTTTGTAAGCTTTGATGCAAGGGGAGTAACATATAATAGAATGAAAATAWGGAAAAAAGAAAAAAAAAACATATACTAAATTGATATAATTTTTCAAGCTCTACACTATGGACACTTTGAAACACTCAAATTGTTAGTTTATACTTGGGGTGTGATCGTCAAAATATTTGGTTTGACTGAAGTTATAAAGCTAACACTCTGCCAAACTGTCTTTTCTGCAGATTGTCGTCTGCAAGCTACGACACGTYTCCCGCATAGAAAACGTGCAGCCTTCGTCCTCCCTCGTTCACATGGTCCATGTCGTTTGTGGTCTCCCTCCTAACTATCACCCCTCGAAGCCTCACACGCTGCCTGCTCGGATTTCTCCTTCAATATTTATAATAAAATATTACATTACGAAGTTAGTTTATTACCTCCCTAAATGACTTATCTATTGTACCCAAAAAAAAAAAATACTTGCATCTATTACTTTTCACTAAAATTTAGGGAGCCTTTGTAAGCTATGAAGATATGGAAAAAAAAACAGATTCGAAATTGATATAATTTTTGACACATAAGGATTTAATTGAAAAGAAATATTTTTCATTTTTTTTAGTACAACATATGAGATGGGGGATCGAACTCACAATGTTGAAGATATATGTCAATTACCATTAAGTTATACTTGTTTCTTTTTCCCTGTGAAGAAGTGATTTCATTAAATTAAGCCATGGGCAAAAATTGAACGGGTGTCCCTTTGAACAAGATMTAAAAGCCACATAGGAAAATTAAAAAGAAAAGTATAAGGGGCTGAAGGGGAAGTGATCCCCCATTTTGCTAAACCATGAGCAGCACGATTGCATTGACAAGACGAATGCTAAATCTTTTAATGCATTTATCTCCTTATCAAAATTCAACAATCAATAATAAAATCTTTAAACGTTATTAAACATCGCTGTCCTTAGTCTARATCCCATATACTACCACCATAACTATTTAATAATTAAAATTCTCTCTCATTTTTTTAATCATATAATTTTTAGAAGGTAAGAAGTATTGAAAAAAAAATCTACTTCATTGATTGATATAAGTTTCAAGTTTCTTATTTTTTCCAACTTAAGTTTAATTGGTTAAGACATCTATTATTGATAAAAATAATTACGAGTTTTATCCCTACCCGATCACTCCCACATTGTTGTATTAAAAAAAGTTTATTAATTTTATTTTACAATTTTGTATTATATATCACCAAATATTTTAATAATAAAATTTACCAATTAATTGACAATTTCTATTTTTTAAAAAATAAACAGACAAATAAATCATTTATATTTAATTAGAATAAATAGAATTTACGCACATACACACATATATACACAAACGAGTCAGAAGAAGATTCTTGTTTGAAGCGGATCACTTTCCTTTAGTCTTGTAGATATTTCTAATGAATCCTCTTTACTTGCATAGACAAGATCAAATGACAACTCTTATCAAAAAGTTAATGGTTCTCTCCAACAAAAATTGGGTTGAAAAATTGCCTATCCATTGTGTTTATAGAACCAAAAAATTTGGGCTAATCATAAATGGTCACGTCGTTATCTATTTTATTTAGGGATTAATTATATATTAACCCTAAATTAAAATTAAAGATAATTTGACAATTAAAATTTGTAATTGGGTCATATGAGTATTGGGGTTGGAATCGATTAGGTTCACAATCTTGATCCAAAACCAATTTACCATGAAATAAGATGAATTAATATTTAAATTTAAATAAATTCATTTAAAAGAATTGGACTTGGCCCAAAATTACCCAATCAATGGCCCACCAAAGCCTATGGAAACCTCTATAAATAGAGGAGACCTCATTATTTTAGAGGTTCAGAATTTTAGGATTGAGAGAATTCATACCAAATTGAAGACTCTTGAACACTTGAAGATTCGAAGATCAACTCCAAATCTTCGAGTATAAAAGATTAGAGATTGAATCCACTATACAACACATACAAACAATATAAAAGTTTAACTCCACGAAATTTCGTGTGAACAGTGTTTAATTAGTATATATTAAAGTTGGCAATTACTTTCAATATTGGCTTTGAAGATCTAGGCTATTAATTAATTTAATTACTCATATCTTGATAAGTCCACTGTGCTTATTATTGTTCAATTAATTAATTAATTAATTAATTTTGTTTACATTTAACTACATACCAACAACTTCATTAGTAATACCGACGGTTCATTTTTTTTTAACAATATTTAGGTATTGATCAGTCACCATTAAAATTTTTATAAATAGGAAGAAGGAACGTAGAAAATAACCAGAATTATCAAATTTTAGTAGTAGAGAGATGCGTGACACCATCGTAAGCATTTAATTTTCCTCGTTCTTTTCTTTTTCCTCTTAAAGACTTTTTTACATCTTTAAAATATCGAGGTTAATGTTATGGTGTATATATGTGTGTATGTACAGAGAGAGATTTGTATGCTAAGATTGAGTAAAGCAAAAGAGGTTGAAGACAGCCTCAACAATGTCCCAACCAAGGTAATAATATCTTCTCTCTCTTATCTCCAACATTACAAGAGATGATCTTGATTTATATGCCTAAAACTTCTCAAGGCGGCTGCATGGGAAGGTGGCTCTCATAACGGGAGCCGCCAGCGGGATCGGCGAGGAGACGGCGAGGCTATTTGCRGCCAACGGAGCTTTTGTCGTTGTAGCTGATATCGACGATGAACTAGGCCAGCAAGTGGCAGCCTCCATTGGTGCCGATAAAGCTAGCTTTCGTCACTGCAACGTGAGAGACGAGAAGCAAGTCGAAGAAACAGTGAGCTACACCGTTGAGAAGCATGGTCGCCTCGATATTCTCTTCAGCAATGCTGCTGTCATGGACTCTTTCACTTCAATTCTAGAATTCGACATGGCAGAGTTCGATAATGTCATGACAACCAACGTCTCTGGGGTATATTTAAATCACCGCTAAATTCAAAAATTTAAGTTTGATAAGTTATATATATATATATATATATATATAAAATGTTTTATTGATATTCTTTAACATTAATTTCTCCATTCCTCTCCACTTGTGGGTCGACATAAGTGACTATATATTGATATTTAGGGAAGAAATAACATAATTTTAGTGTTTCGAACACGAGACCTTCCTGCTTTAGTTTTACATTCATTTTCTATACAGGTGATTGCGACGATCAAGCACGCTGGACGAGCAATGGTGGAGCAAAACATACGCGGGTCAATCATCTGTACGGCGAGTGTGGTGGCCATGATCGGTGGGATAGGGCCAGTGGCATATGCGAGCTCAAAGCATGCGGTGGTGGGGGTGATGAGATCGAGCTGTGCAGAGCTCGGGACGTATGGGATAAGAGTGAACTGCGTGTCGCCGCACGGGGTGGCGACACCGATGGCTTGCCGGAGTTTGAACTTGAAAGGGAGTGAGGTTGAAGAGCTTGTCTGTTCTAGGGCAAACTTGAAGGGAGTGGTGTTGAAGGCCAGCCATATGGCTGAGGCTGCTCTGTTTCTTGCTTCTGATGAATCAGCTTGTGTGAGTGGACAAAACTTGGTCGTTGATGGAGGCTACTCAGTGGTCAAATCATTTATGTGATTTTCTCTTTTTTAAGTTCTTGCATGATTTTAATATTTATGTGGTGCAAAGTGTTAGATTTGGGACTTTTTCTCAAATTTTTCTTTGATGAGGACGAAAAATTGATACCGTTTAGTAATATTCGTTTCATTTTCGGTCGTTGTTTCTTCTTTTTTGATAAATAAAAATAAAACCGTGTTTCGTGATTGTTTTTTATTTTTGTTCTTGAAAAAAATAACAGAAAATTGTTTAGTAAACCATTTCTTGTTTTTTTCTTTCTCTAAAATTTTAAATTAAAAAAAAATTAAAGTTTTTATCTGAGAATTAATTTTTTAAATTAAATATTTAAAAGTTTTGCTTTATATTTATTTTTAATATTTATTATTTATCTTATAATCAATAATGATAAAATAATATTTTTATTTATGTTTCGAATAAAATTGTAATATAACAAGAAACCATAAATTTTTCATTCCGTTGTTTCCAAATTTTCTACATATTTTTGGAATTTTTTCTTAAAAACGGGGAGGGAATTAGAAACAATCATCAAATACTTATATTACTCTAAAACTAAAAACAAAAATATTATATGTCAACGTGAGCCTAACTCAKTGATAATTGACACCTATTTATTTCTTTGAGGTTGGAGATTCAAATTCTCATATCCCTAATTTATTGTACTTAAAAAAAAATACAAATGTTACTAAACGAACCCTAAATTTTCAATCATGCCTCCTTAACCTGTGGCAGAGATGAGAATGAGGACTATTTTGATGGATTGGATTTTGGATGATTTCTGAATTTTGGTTGCTATCAGTTTGATAAGAATTTATTTTAAATTAGGGTTTTTAATACAAATTATGTAACAAAACAGCAAAAGACCCAAAAGTCCACCATTATGGGCCTAGTAGAAGAATCGTTTTTGGTCTTCATGGGCTACCCGGTTGTGTATTATGGACCGGGTCAAGTCCATTAACAAATTTAAATTGAATTCCATCATTTCATTTTAACTAAATTACAAATTTACTATTGTTTTGTTTATTAACTTTCTAAATTTAAAAAGTTTCAATTCTAATTCTCAAAAAAAAAAAAAAAAAAATTCAATTCTAACATGACACCATATTTTAATACAACAAATGTGAGGGTGTGAGATTGAACCTCGACTTTTCAGGAAAGGTGTCTTGACTATTGAGCTAAGTTCATGTTAGCACTGTTACGTGACACATTAATTAGACATATAATGATTTTCCATCTCGTCTCCAAAAATTTTTAATTATTCATTATTGTGTCATTAAACTTTAACATTCATTTCTACACCCTCACATATTGTTGTACTATTTAAGGAAAAAAATTTCACATTCATTACTTTTATTTTTAATTTTTTTAGACAAGTAAAGGTGGGGATTTAGACATGTGGGGGTGGAAATTCGAACTCACAATCTTTTGGTCGGAATAGGTCCCAATTGAACTATGTTCAGGTTCGATATTATTCTATTTTATAATCACAGTATTTAACATAATATTCTACTCACAAATTATGAAATCTTTAAATAAATGTAAAATAAAAGGTTTCTAAAATAAGTCATAAACTCTCAAAAATTCAAAAGGTTGAATTGGCCAGATTCTTGTACTCTCAACTTTTTGATCTTTACACTTCAAAAATATTCAATTGGGATCTTTTATTTTCAATTTTGTTTATTTTAATATTGTAATTTTAAAGCGTTCAATTTGGTTCGTACCCATTGAAAATCTTTAATACAAATCTGTGATTACATTCCAGAAATTTAGTTGGTGAAACGTCCTGTTAAAATTTTATGATGGAAAGAAATTGGATAAAATAAAAATGGATGATAAAAAGATGAAAATGATATTTTTTAAAAGACGTTTTAAAATATAATGACTAAAATAAATAAAAATTAGTACAAAATAAGAATGAAGTGTATATAAACTAAATTCTATTAATTTTTCTCTTTATTTTTCCAATTTATTATAATTAATCTACCCACATATATATTTTGGGAGAAACAAAAATTTCAAATCATGTATTTTTTTTTCAGATATTTATACGACCTTCACCACTTATTTTTATAATCATTCAATGAATAGCCCTTAAGTACAATTATTGAACCAACAAATTTCAAACTTTTTTTTTTATAAAAAATCTCAGCCACTTGCTCGAGCACCCCACCTACTAATTGGAAATTATAGACTCCTAATATGATCCACATGCTCATTGATTCATTATCAAATTTCAAACACATTTATCTTAGATTAAAATTAAATAATTCAATTCTTCCAAAAAAAAAAGATTGAATGCTGACAGATTTTAAATCAATTGAATTATGATCGAAATAATAGCTTGGATATAAGCTTGTTTCATTTTATTTTTTGGAATGTATACTATAGGAGGATTGAATTATTAAATAATATATATTATTGACTTTAACGTATGTAATATTTCAAATTTATACCCAATATTCTTAGAACTTTAAATTTACCCTATTGATATCAAAATGAAGAAATAACTGTGGTAGCTAGGAATAGAGAGAATCCGACAAAATAAATGAGTTTATTTATTTATTTTAATTAAGTGAAATATACGAAGTGTCCACCGACAGAAATGATTAGAAGTTTTATATAAACTATAACTTTTATATATAATAAATGCTAAAAGCCAACCGAATTGTTTGAAAAATACAGAGACCGAAACAAAGGGAAATATAAGAACAAACATGAAGGTTTGAAAAGTATCCTATCAAAATAAACCGAAATATATAAGATTATTTAAACCAAGAAATTATGAAGTAAAATCTCCTGTTGCAAATTTAACCAAAAATACTATTTTTTTAAAACAACCAAAAATACTATTTAAATATTAGAACAAACCTTTTTTTTTCTAAATAAATTAAGCCCATGATGTTACATGATTGAATTATAAATAAAATCGCCCTTTTCCACACTTGCATTTAATTTTCTAAATCGGCAGACCGGCCGCCGGCACTGTCTAACAGAAATTATCCACTTTGAGATCATGTAATGATATGATATAATTCGGGGTTTTTTTCTTTCTTTCTTTTCTTTTTTAACTTTAATATATTTCTTAAAACTAAACTTTAAATATTATTTTTGTTTCGATTTTTATACATTTATGACTATTTTATATAAATTCATGATTCATTCCCTCACTAATAGAGATAATAATTCATGATCATTCATTTTCCTAGTCAATGTGAGACTTTGTTTGCGATCACCTTACAAACCCAACAATATGGTATGAAGTTTTTTTGAGTGAAACTAAAAGCAAAGTCGTGAGCGCTATACCCAAAGGGATACTTGAGGTATCGTTGTCCTTAACAAGTGGTATCAAAGCCACGGTCTAAACCTAGTTGTGTCAGTGAATCCTAGAGTGCCAAATAAAGTAGTGAGCCTTGGAAGGTGTGGTCATGGGGTAATCCATGAGTGTGCTCTATTAGTTCAGGTCCGAGAGTAGACGAATGAGTGACTACTTGAGGGGAGGCTCGGTGGTACTTTGTTCGATGGGAGGATTGTTGGGTTTGTAAGATGATTGAAAACAAAGTCGTACATTGATTAGGGAAATGAATGATCATGAATATATAAGAAATTAAATAATTATCTTAATTGGTATGAGACTTTTGGGTGAAACAAAAAACAAAGGGACAATATCATACCATCCCGAGATACATAACTAAAATGAACAAAAATAAAATATTAAAGTAAAGTAATAGGATATGTATAAACCAAAGTTAGAAGGTGTGTATCCCAAGTTAAGATTTTTCTTTCCTTCTCACTAACAAATTCCCACCAAATTAATTCTCACATCCCTCTTCAAAGATTTTCTTTTTATTTATTTTTTAAAGCTACATTCCTCTTCAAATATCTCGTTTTCAATCTGAAGAAGAATTGGCCACATAGCAAAATTACTGTTAAATGCTTGTTTTCGTTTTCCTTTTTATTTTATTTTCCATTATTTTTTAAAATCTGAATATAAATCCTATCTAGAAAGTAATCATTTTCTTAGATGTAAAACAACTCACACTTAAAATTTTTCTTATTTGGAGGCAGATATTTACAATTTTTTTTTTTTAACAATAGCTATGAAATTTGCAAGTTTTAATTCATTACCTTGGTTTGATTTGATTAAAGAATGGACTTTCTTTCATGAATATATATTATTAATATTGTTATTTGGTATTTGGTATTAAAACACATTTTATTATTATATCTTGAAAAAGATTAAAAGGACAAAACATAGTAAAACTTTCTTTTCACTTCTAGTAAACATCCCAATAATAAATTTATTTAATTACAGACAGAAATAAAAATTTTAAATCATTTATATCTCTTAAAACCTTAAAAATTTTAAATAATTTCTGACCAATTATGCAAACTCTTTTTTTTTTTTTTATTAACATCACATCCAATAATTTCTCCATATTATATCAGATGAAGATCCAAGTTTGAGTCCATCGACA